GAGCCCCACTGTGGCAGTGTTGGAAACTGATTGAGTCATGGGAGTGGATCCCTCATGAAGGGATTCGTGCTCTCCCTGGGGGGGGGGGGGGTAGTGAGTGAGTTCTCGCTCTATTAGTTCCTGCATTAGTTCCTGCAAGAGCTGATTGTTTAAAAGACCCTGGCACCTTCTCTCTCTCTCTCTCTCTCTCTCTCTCTCTCTCTCTCACTCTCTTTCTCTCTCTCACTTCCTCTCTCACCATGTGATCTGCTTGTACCCACCAGCTGCCTGCCGCTTTTCTGCCATGAGTAGAAGCAGCCCGAGGCCCATGCCAGATGCAACTGTCCCAGAATCGTAAGCCAAATAAACCTCTTTTCTTATAAATTACCCAGTCTCAGGTATTCTGTTATTGCAACACAAAACTGATTAAAACAGGGGGAGATAATTTTCATTTTCCTGAGAATTAATTTATGGATGAAGACCTATTTATCAACTCTCTTTGGTAATCACTCTCAACAGTTACTTATGCAATCATTTTCCTGTCTTCCTTTAAAATGCAAGTATATAAGAGCAGAGATCTTGTCTATTTTGTTCTGTATTCTAGACCCATCACCTAGAAGTGTTGAATAAGTGAATAAAATTAAATTATGTTGAGCATTTAATTAGGGATCTAGATGGGGATGATATTATTTGCTTCAGCTCTTCCACTGAAATTCTCCTAGCTCAACAAGTACATCATCCAAAATCCAGAGAAAGTAATTCAGAAGTTTCTGTGACAGAGTAATGACTATGAATTTTGAAGTCCATAATTTAGAAGATATGAATAATTATGAAATATTTTCCAGTCAGAAAATTTGGGAGAGTTTAAATTTCCAGAGCTGTCCTAAGCAAAACTGTTCTGATTCTCTCTTCCCATTAGGCTCTCCCATCCCCAAAATGAGCTCTCAATGTGCTACACTACTTGATGTATTTGCTTTTTAAGCAAACATTACATATTAGAAAGTGGGTGCGATTTTTTTGACTGCACCAGCATTCTACATGAAGTCCCTAAAATCACATCACTGTATAAGTCATAAGGCTGACCCTACTCCTTTGACACTGAAGTTATAATTCTAACCTTTACCAGGGAATTTACTCAGAATTTTATAGCTAGCAACACAAAGTGGTAAACAATTTCTGAGTTCTGTTTCTACGTAGCTTGTAGTGAGTAAAAACAATTAGACAATGGACTTTGAATAAGGGTGGGGTAGTATATGGGACAGCACATTGATGCTTCACTGGCTTGAGGGAGTATGGATAAATTCTAGGCCACTTGACCCAGACTATAAGCATCCTGAGGACTGGTTTTTTCCTTATTTTTCTTTGTAGTTCTCATTTAACATAAATCTTGCGATCACATTTCAACAACTTTTTAGAAAACTAATATTCCCCGAAAACATTTTCTTATATACATACTTCAAATTATGAATGGAAAGGATTCTAGTAGTTCAGAGACCAGCAAAACAACTAGCTAAGTCAATATCTATGAACTGGACATGCAAACAGAAAAGTAAATACAGTTCTGCATGTAAAAATATGGCTATAGAAGGTTGCAATTTTATTTGTAATAAAAAAACTTTACATGCTTTAACAAAGCATGCCTTCAGAGGTACTATATGACAGAAAACTAATGAATGAGAACTTTGTCAATCTGTGTAAGGTGATTGAATTTTCTTGTTTTAAAAACTTACTTTTTTTCTTATCACTAAAGTAATTATATTTTCATCATAGCAAATGTGAACAAAACATATAAGCAAAAAGAAAAATTTAAATTGTACAACTCAGAGCTTATTTTCTAATAGCAATACTTTTGTGTATTTTAAAACTATAATTTCTCTTTAACCAGGAAATACTCACAGCAGAGAGAAATGATTGACATGGCATGCAGCTTGTTCTCAGACCTGATATAAGGTCTTGTACAAATGACGAAAATGTTTCCAAAGCAGGTAACTGCGGATACAACCCAGACAAATATTCTCTGAATAATGCTTGCCAAGAGATTCTCTAGAGATGAAATTCCATCGGTGTTTGGTTTACAGCTGCGAACATGTGGTGCATAACCACAGTACTGGAATTTCTTAAAATATCTGGTATACAAAGAGAAGGTAAAGTAAGATATTAAATTTAATTCAGTATAACCAAACATCAATATTTACTTCCTACATTTTCTCAGTAGAAAGAAAATGTCTTATATGAGACTCAGAGGAATGTAAAACATTAGGGATTCTGAAACTTTAAATTTAATTTTAATTCTCATTAACTTGATTTCACTGTAGAATATGTAGGTGAGAGCAGTAAATAGGCATAATGAATATACAAGTGTTAAACGTGTTAGAATTTAAATAAACTTTAGCATGTGATCAAGAGAATGAAGCCATCCAAATAAACTTTTATTGGGTTTTCAGTCTTTAGTAAATGTAAATGTACTGTTCCTTGGCTCCTATTATAGCTGTGACTGATCTTGTTTTTTAACCCTCAGGGGAAGGATTAAGTGTTTTCTTTGTGCTTCCATGGCTTTTCTGCTATAGAAGTTATTATGTTATCTGTACTACTTGCTAACATGCCTATTTCTCACAGTAGATTTTGGTACATAATAAAGGATTCAATAAATAATTTGTTGAGTGAATTCTTTCATCAATAGAAAGACCTCCCTTGTTGATAGAGACACCATCTGGATAATCAATAATTACTACTGTGTTACCACCAACCCTAACACCATTTATTGAGCATTTTCTAGGTATCAGGAATAAATTCTCAAATGAACCCCAAGAGGTAGGTGTAAGCATCACCGTAGGAGGAGGTGAATCTTCAATGTATTCGCTCAGAAATTTCCTAGTAAATGTAGAAATTGGGATTCAAATTAGATTTCTTTGCCTCTAAAGCCATGTGTTCTGGTAAAAATAAAGGATCTGATAGTATAAAGAGGATCTTATAGTATAAAGAGCTTTTGTAATAAAAGATAAAAACTTGATGATTACAATTTGACCTGTCAAATTCAAGTTCAATTGCTGATATTTCATCTTGTTATATCCACTTTCTCTGTGGACTGGGAAGGAGGGGAGAGCAGAACACAAGGAAGGCAGGAGTGCTGATTGCTATTTCACTTTGTTTTATGTGTCTTAGAAGGAAGTTTTGCTTTTATCAGCAGAATTGTAGTAGACCTTTGTTTGCTAAGTTTGGCTGCCTAGCATCTCATCACCCTTCTGGTGATAGTGTCCTGATTTTCTTTGGGGGAATTACTTCACCAGCCTGTGAGAAGTCATGGTGGCACCTTCAGAGGAGGCACTGCTGTAACCCAGAGTAGGTTAGTGTCCTAAGCAAGATCAATTAGATTCTCTCCTGGAACTCTGAATCTTATTGAATGACACTTGGATAGATAATTCCAGCAGTGCCAGAATAATATTATTGTTTAATTCTTGCTATCATGGTTTCTGCCCAATTCAAGTCTGTTCCTTTAGTTGTTCTTAGGTTTTGTGAACTTTACCGTTTTCTCCCAATAAACTTCATTTTGCTTAATTTAGAATGTTTTATGTTGTGTGCAACCAAGGAATCTTCTATAAGCATTCTTTCTGAGGACTTATGGAAAACAAAAACAGTGTCCTGTGTTGGACTTAAAATATAAGCAAGATTATAGAGTTGATGGTGCTGGCAAGACACTCTCTAAATTATTGCAAATTAATTACCATGGCATGGAAATCATTCTAATACCTGTTATAAGATTACATTCAATTAAAGATTTTTTAAAAACATGTAATCAAAGGTACAACCAGACACCCTGTTTGAATAAATGATTTTTCAAAGTTTACCATTTCATTCATTTACACTTGCTCCAATCATGCCCTTACATTGGGGCAATTTTCACTAAGGAGGACTTCTCCCTACCTTCCTTCATTTACAGCAATTATTTATTTAGAATTATTTTATTTTGCTTATACAAATTCCTACTTCTTCATCAGGTAGCACTTATACCATGTGTACAAATTACTAGTTCATTGGGCAAACATCACTATCTGTGAATGGCATCAGAGCTGAGGAGAACTTACAAGACTGAGTGGGTTCCTCCCCACAATCATGTCCCCTGGCATTCAAAAAAGCATGAGATTCTACAGACTCTGGAAAACTAAAAATCACCCCTCCCAATATCAAAGTTTTTTTTTTTTTTTTTCCTTTTTGTCTTTTTTTTTACTGACCAGTACCTGTATCGCAACCCTCCGTGTCGCGCCCATACCGGGGACCGGCAACGGGATTGCAACCTTTGGTGTTGCGCCCGCACCACGCTTAGCCAGTGAGCAGGAACTGGTCTCCACATGGGATCTGAACCCTCGGCGGGAGCGCCGCTGCGCTCCCAAGCGGCGCACTCTCCAGTGCGCCACCGGGCTGGCCCCAATATCAAAGTTTTAAGAGTTAATTATTGTTGAGACATGTCTTAGTCTGTTTGGGTTGCTATAAGAAAAATACCATAGACTGAGTGGCTTAACCAACAAACATTGATTTCTCACAGTTCTAGAGGCTGGGAAGTTCAAGACCAAGTTGCCAGTAGATTCAGTGTCTGGTGAGGGCTTGCTTCCTGGTTTGTAGATTGCCATTTTCTCATTGTGTTCCTACTTGGTGGAAGGGGCAAGGGAGGTCTCTGGAGTCTCTCTTAAGAGGTTACTAACCCCATTCATGAAGGCCCTGCCCTCATGATCTTATCACCTCCCAAAGGCCCCACCTATTACCATTACACTGGGGTTAGGATTTGAACATATGAATTTTGGGAGGACACAAACATTTAGTCTATAGCAGCCAAATTAGTAGAAAATATAATAGATTAGATGAATTGGGTATGGATGTATTATCACAATACATGTGGAAACATAAAGATTAAAATGAAGATGAAGAGCGAGAAAAACACATCTACGTACATGTGAGAGAGATTCATGAGAGGGCTAAACATCCTTTGCTGGATATTTGAAATCTCAATTCCTTCTAGGCTGCTAAAAATACCAAAATAATAATCAATCAAAAGAACATATATTATACATACATGGTATAATAAAATGAGTTTTTGTGGACAATTTAATGAAATGCTTTGAGTTAACACTTATTCTGAATGAAATATTCATACTTAGACCACCCCAGACACTTTCCCGACCCCTCGTTTTTTGATTGGGTTATTTGTACACATATATTTCCCTTATTTGATTTTTTTTGATCTTCAAAGATCATAGCAGAATGCTTTGTGCATACTAACTACTCAATAAATATGTGTAGAATAAATGAATAAATTATCTTTTGGACTATATTACAATTGCAGAAAGTTTTATGTCTAACATTTTTCTAATAATTTTTAAGTGTTTTTTTAAATAAAATATCATTTTACTGAGAGAACACTTAATTTAAATGAACCGAAGCTTATCTTTTTAAGCAGTTCTTAGACTCTAACAATTTTATTACTTCATATACATTTATTTGTGTGTGTGTGTGTGTGAGTGTGAGTGTGTGTGAGTGTGAGTGTGTGGTGAATGTAATGATTGATATAATCTAAAATATCCCATCTTGGGGTAAAGATACTAGTAATAAATTCTTAAATATCCAGTGCTAATGGAGTAATAAGTATGCACAGATGCCTTCAGAGGGTCAAAGCAAGCAATCCAATAAATAAAATGATTAATATTATGTAACTTTTAATTTATAAATATACAAGATAAAACTGATAGATATCTGTTTGTGTATAGTCCAGCAAGCGCTCATCTTATATATTTTTGTGGAGCTTAACTACTATCCTGGAAATAAAGCTTATGATTTGAAAGATTTTATAAAAATATATGTTATTAATATTTAAATGACATTCTCATCAAAAAACTATCCCCATATGTGTATACTTACAGAGACTTGAGTTTGACAAGATAATCAAATTGGTTTGCTTGAATTTTCTGGATTGGGTTATAGGAAAGATTCCTGTTTTTAAAAAAATGCAGCAATAGGTCATTTCTAAAAATTGCTTGAGTAAAGAAAGAGTGTATCTGTTGACTTTGGGTTACTTTTAAACACTTACAAAAAAAAGTATAGTACAACTCAAAATTGATTAAAGACTTAAATGTAAGACCCGAAGCCATAAAACTGCAAGAAGAAAACATAGGGAGGAGTGATGTCAGCAAGGTGGCCGACCAGAAGACCCTACTGCTCTTCTCTTTCACAAAGACAGACAAAACAATGAATAAACAACTACATGTGGATGAACGTAACCAAAGGAAAGTGCCACAGTACATCAAAGATGTAACAGAAAGCCTGGTGACCATAGAAACCCAGGATAGCCACACAGAAAACAGAAGGAAACACCCAGCCTCTATCGCTTCATCCCCCAGCCATGATCAGCTAACAACTGGAAGGTACATCTCACTGAAGTGAAAAGTCCTCAGAGGCACTAAGCCCAGCTGAGGGAGCTAGCTGGAATCTAAGTTATGCTCCCCTCCAGAGAAGAAGCATTGCCCCACTCTCTGTGGCTACTGCACTATGCCATCGTGGAACTAGAACTGCTGCTGGAGTATGTCTTGCCCCTGGAGGCAAGTGGCCATGGCTCCCTTTCATCCCAGAGGCTAAGCTACAGTCAAAACATCTTTGCCTGGTGGCTGGACATCCTCAAGCTGAGCTTCCAGCAGCTGTTACACCCTGTCCTGAGGGGTGAGGAGGTGATGGAGGGAGTGGAGCCACTCCAACTACCTGCTCTCCAACTATCCTTGCCAATTGTGGCTGTGCCCCACCCCCTTGGGCCAGAGCTGAAGAGATGCATTGCTCCCTGTGGAATTGGTGCCTTGGTGCATCCCAGAGCTCAGCTGTACTACACTGTGTCTCAGGGAAACATCTATGGCTGAGCTGAGATACCCACCCTACAACAATATTACAGCTGAATAACTAATATTCTGCTTCCCCAGAGCTGGACTAACTTCCTAGAGACTGAAATGCTGGATACCACTTTCCCTAGGGAGTGGAGTCAGTGCTGTGTTGCTCCCTGCCCCCAGGTTCCAAATGACAGCCATGCCCCACCATTCCAAAGTCCTTGCTGCTGCTACACTTTGCCCTACAGAGTCTGGGATATTGCCAAATTCCACCACCCCAGAGTCTAGAGTCACCACTACATGGTGCCTCATTACTTGGTACCTGAGTGACCACTGAGCCCTATTTGCTCTGGTTCCTGAATTGCAGCCATGCCCTACTTCTGGACCCAAACTTACAGAGCACTCCTCTTCCAGAGTCAAGCCGGTGCTGTGCCCTGCCCCCCACGGTCAGGTTTGCAGCTGCAACATGGCCACTGGTTCCGAGCTACCAGGGGATGCCACAGAATCCCAGATCCTTGATCTGTGGACAATCTACATCCAACCCTACCAAAGAGAGTGAACCTGCACCCTGAGACCTAGGTGTCACAATAGGTTCACAAGACACTGAGCCTAGGATCCCATCTCCACTGCCACTCTGAGCACCTGCACTTGGAACCCAGAACCACTGGAGCTCCATACAGGTTGTGTCAGACCCAGCACCAAAAGAGACCCCCTTGGTGAAGTTTCCATTTGTAGGGAAAGTGAGAATTGGGGACCCCAAAAGCCCTTAACAGCCTACACTACCACTGCTGCTGTCACAAAGTTTTATAGCTTAGGTCACTGAGGCACCCACAGTTATTGCTAACATTAATCACAACTGAAGAAGCTGCTCAAAGACAATACCACTATATCTGTGCAAAACCAGAATTGCCACACCATTTCCAGGTGGCATACTAATATCCATCTGTAGGTGAAAGACGTTCTGTATGGAAGCCACTCTGTAAAGTTTAGAAGAGATGATTGTTTCACCAGATGCACAGACATCAGCACAGGAACGCAAGAAATATGAAAAAGCAAGGAAATATGACACCGCCAAAAGAACACAATAACTCTCCAGTGACAGACTCCAAAAAAAAAAAAGAAAGAAAGAAAAGAAAAGAAAAGAAATCTGCAAACTGCTGAAACAGGAATTCAAAATAATGATTTTAAGAAAATCAATGAGAACAAGAGAATACAAAGGACACTTCAACAAAATCAGGAAGACAATGCATGATATGAATTAGTAATTTAAGAAAGAGCTAGATCTCATGAAAAAGAACCAAACAGGAATGCTGCAACTGGAGAATTCAATTTATGTAATAATAAAAAAATACAACAGAGAGCTTCAACAGTGGACTAAATCAAGCAGAAGAAAGAATCTCTGAACTTGAAGATAGGTCATTTGAAATTACTGTCAGAAAAATGTATAAGAATAGAAAAAGTGAAGAAAGCCTACAGGAATTATGGGAAATCATTAAGTGAACAAATACAAGGGAACTTTAAAAAATTTGTGGAAAAATAGAATTAAAATGGATAATATGAATGAATAATATGAATCTTTTCATGAACTTTTTGAAGTACCCTCAAATTTGCATTATGGGAGTTGCATGAGGAGCAGAGATGAGCGAAGGCATAGAAAGCCTGTTTATTGAAAAGAGTAGCTGAAAACTTCCCAAGTCTTGGGAAAGAATATAGACATCCAGATGGGAGTCACAAATGTCCCCAAATAGATTCAATCCTGAAAGGTCCTCTCCGAGGTATATTATGGCCAAATTGTCAAAAGTCAAAGACAAAGAGAGAATTACAAAAAAAAAAAAAAAAAAAAAAAAAAAAAAAAAAAAGAAACACTTCAGGTCACATTTAAGGATATCCTTATTAGACTAATAGCATATTTTTCATTAGAAATATTAAAGGCCAGGAAAGAGTGGAATGATATATTCAAAGTGCTGAAGGAAAAAAATTCCCAGGCAAGAATACTGTACCTAGAAAAGCTATCCTTCAGCAATAAAGGAGAAATAGTCTTTCTCAGACAAGTAAAAACAGAAAACTCACCACCTCTATTTCAACCTTATAAGAAATGTTAAAGGGAGTCCTACATCTGAAAGCAAAGAAACAATAACCAGTATCATGAAAACATGCAAAAGTATAAAACTCACTGGTAAAGTAGGTACACAAACATGAAAGAGAAAGGAATGAAAGCACTGAACTGTAATGATAAACAAGAGAAGAAAAAAGGAACAAAGGATATACAAACAAACAAACAAAAACAGAAAACTATCAACAAAATGACAGGAGTAAGTCCTCACCTATCAATAATTACCTTGAATGTAAATAGATTCAATTCCCCAATTAAAATACATAATCTGCCTGAATGGATAAAAAACAAGACCCAACTATATGCTGTCTACAGGAAACTCGCTTCACCTGTAAAGACACACATAGACTGAAAGTGAAGATATAGGAAAAGATATTCCATGCAAATGGAGACCAAAAGTGAGCAGGAGTAGCTATACTTATTTCAGATAAAACAGATACTAAGTTGAAAACTAAAAAGCAACAAAGAAAGTTATACAATGACAAAGGGATCAATTCAGGAAGAGGATATATCAATTGTGAATATATATGCACACAACATTGGGGTATCCAGATATATAAAGCAAATATTATTAGATATAACAATATTGTATTGGAAAGATAGATTCCAATGCAATAATAGTTCGGGACTTTAACACCTCACTGTCAGCATTGAACAGATCATCCAGACAGCAGATGAACAAAGAAACATTAGATTTAAACTGTGCTATAGACCAAATGAACCTTACAGATTTAAGGAATACTTAATCCAACAGCTGCAGAAGAAACATTCTTTTAATCAGAACATGGAACATTCTCTAGGATTGACCATATGTTAGGCTACAAACAAATATCAACACATTTTTAAAAATTGAAATCATGTCAAGAATCTTCTCTAACCCCAAAAGAATAAATCTGAAAATAAATAACAAGAGGAACTTTTGAAATTGTACAAATACAGGAAGATCTAACATTGTGCTCCTGAATGACCAATGGGTCAATAAGGAAATTAAGAGGGAAATTTAAAAATTTATTGAAAAGAAAATAGAAACACAATATACCAAAATCTATGGGATATAGCATAAGCATTATTAAGAGGGAAGTTTATAGCAATAAACACATTAAAAAAGTAGAAAGCTTTCAAATAAATAACCTAACAATGCATCTCAAGGAACTAGAAAAGCAAGAACAAACCAAATTGAAAATTAGTAGAAGGAAAGATATAATAAAGATCACAGCAGAAATAGACAAAATTGAGACTAAAAGAAAATGCAAAAGATCAACAAAACAAAATGTTGGGTTTCTTAAAAAGATAAATAAAATTGATAAACAATTAGCTAGACCAACCAAGAAAAAAAGAGAAAAGACTCAAATAAATAAAATCAGAAACAAAAAAGGAGACATTACAACTGATACCACAGAAATACAAAGGATCACTAGGGACTGCTGTGAATAACTATATATCAACAAACAGGAAAATCATGAGGGAATAAATAATTTCCTGTACACATACAACCTACTGATATTGAATAAATAAGGAATAGAAAACTGGAACAAACCAATTGTGAGTAATAAGATTGCATCAATAATGAAAAGCTTCCAATCCAAAAAAGTCCATGACTTGATGGCTTAATTGCTAAATTCTACCAAACATTTAAGGAAGAATTAATATAAGTTCTTCTCAAACTCTTTCAGAAAATTGAAGAGAAAGAAATTCTTCCAAACTCATTCAAGGAGGCCAGCATTACCCTGGTACCAAAACCAGACAAGGACACAACAAGGTAACTATAGGCCAGTATACCTAATGAACATAAATGCAAAAATACTCAACAAAATACTAGCAAACCAAATCCAGCAGCACATTAAAAAGGCCATTCACTATGATCAAGTGGGATTTATCCCAGAGATGCAAGGATAGTTCAACACACATAAATCACTAAATGTGATACATTGAATCAACATAATGAAAGATTAAAAAATATATAATATCCTAAATAGATTCAGAAAAATTATTTGATAAAATTCAATATT